TCCAAGTGTAAGCTTCGCATTAGAACGATCAAGTGTTCTGGGATTCCCATTCTTATAAATTAGAAAATGAAAATATATTGACAATTAATAAAAAGTAATATTTGAAGTGATAGTGAATGGGAAAGAGAAGAAAAAAACATTTTTATAAATATGCAGTAAAATAATTTGTTTGTTTATACTGCTATTTTGTATAGAACTGTGAAGTTCTATAATAAAGCATAGATTCTGGAGCCAGACAAGTTGCATTCAAAGTACATACATGCATACTCACACAGATGGATACATCTACACTGCAGAAAGCTCTACAAAGATAGGCATTTTGTCTAGTTTGTTCCTGATGAATTTCAATTCCAGTATTAGTGTCTGACACATAGTATACTTAAAAAGAAATGAATGACTTTCACTTCCATCACTTATTGTCTGATTTAGGGAACATTGAAATTTTCTGAGGATTTGTTCCCCTTTCCTGATATCTTCATATAATAACTACTTCATGGCACTACCTAAGCACTAAATACAGTATCATATAAAGCACTTTTTCTGTGCCAAGCACCTATAAAAAAGGATGCAATGGAACATAAAATAACTAATGATGGTGTCTCAAGCAGATCCTTTCAAATGGAAATACTAATTTTAATACCTACTTCACCAAACACTGTGTGCTTCATTTTGGAGAGTTAATTTGCTGAAATCTCAAATGAACTATTTTTATTAATTTTATAACTTTAAAGAAGAGCTGTAATGACCATGTGCTGCCAGCCCAAAGGTAAACAGTTCAAAACCATCAGCTGCTTTCCTGGAGAAAGATGGGTGGTCTCCTCCCATGCATTTTACTGCCTGTGAAAACCCTCTGGAGTGTCAGTCTAGGCCAGTTCCAACTTGATGGTACACAAAATAACAATTAACTTAAAATCATGAACAGTTTTTATGAAAATATATAACTATGTATGATACAAAGTCTTTACTCCCTTTTGAGAATATGATAAGTTAGAATATTTCAATCATATTTTGAAATGACTTATGCTGTATTATGTATTTTTCACATATTTGCACCACACAAAGGAACATTTAAAAGTAGTAAATGTCCTAAAAATCTCCATTAAAGTAAATTATTTACTCTTAATTGGCAAAAAATATTTCAAGTAAAATATTTTTTGGAAAGCATATCTTCACTCAAGATATTTTGTTCTTGTTAAATATGTCAATTTAAAACTATTTTTAATTATTTTCTGTGTCCATTCTTAGATAACCCCAAGTATTATTTTCTGGGATCCCAGGGTTCTAAACATTTGATTTACATGCAGCCTATAGTTATGAATCACCATCTGTGAAGTCCATTTTATTAAACAGTTCAAATATGGAAATTTGTAATAACACATGAGTATTCACAATTAACTTTAAATAATTTTTGTTATTGATTATTTTTATTATTTATTCAAATAATTTTCACTCATTGGATTATTATGTTTAGGATCTCTGGTGTTGTAGTCACATGACTCAAGTCCACCGGCTGCTCAACAGGAGAAAGATGAAGTCTCTATATTGTACACAATGAAATTAGCATATTGAAGATGGTTTAGTACATCTTTAAGTATTTGCTGGTTTTATGCATAGAAATGTAAACTTAAATACACTATGTACTAAAGCAAACATTCAACTGCTAATTGATTCAAACCATACCTAACAGTTCTAATTTATGTACAAATGATTTAAAGATAGGTTTAGGAATGGAAAACAGTTGTGGTCCAGGGATGCCTCTCCCAGATGAGAAAGGCACCATCTAGTGGCCACAGCCTTTTTCCATTTTTGCCATTATTTTAGTTCTCTCTGAAACAAGTATCTAAACCAAAAATAACAGAACTGACTTTCTTACTGTTTTTTAAAAAAATATACGTAAAGACAATTTACATTTTATAATCATGACAGTCATAATTAAAGTCTTCAAGTATTTTAAATTAGTTTGTTACAAAGTTTTTAAAGTGAATATGTAACCTTATCTGCGAGCAAGCTGCTACTAGTTACATCAAAGGCATGGGAAGATAAACATTGTAAAGCATTGTGTTATATTTGTTTTTCATTGTATATGTTATCCTATTCAGACAAATTCTTGGCTAGAAAAGTAAATTATTTCACAACAGAAATTTGTTTTAGTTAGTTTTCATACAATAGTTCATTTACATTGTGTTTCTTTCCTATACAGGTTTTCCATACAATCCTTCATTTACATTGTTTTTCACATAATCATTAACACTATATCGCATATAATAAATTACCATTAATGTAGGCCTATTTTTATACCATCCTTTCAAGCCCTCATTGAGTCTTTCCCATTCACTTCTCCTCCTCCCAGCCTGCCCACTACACTCTGTTATCCTAGTGATCTCCATATTTTCCCCTTTTCCACTCCTTTTACTTTTCTCCTTCCCCATTTGGGCATTTACACATACCTCACTAGTTATGTTTACAATAATGATTTTCTGTTTCCAAGAAATATTTGGTGTGTTACACTTTTTTAATCAGGTAAAAGAAAAATTAGATGGAGTACAATTAATAATTATAACTAATGTGATTGTTCTATAAAGACAGATCTAAGCTTATCCAATCAATAATCAATAATTACTATGTCAGATGTTAGATCTTTTTCTCCTATTATTTTCACTATTGCAGAAAATATCTTATCTGTCTATATTCCTAGGATATACATTTAAAATTTTGCAGATTTTTAAAAAAAAAATAAAGTGATAATCCTAGATTATATCTAAGCTGTATTTTACTGCATTATTTTAATATATTATTATTATGAGTGGTGTAGCAAATTTAGCCCTACAATTAAAAATGGGAAAATCTGTGAATTAACTATTCATTAGAGATATTGTTCTTAGTAAAGCAAGAAGAGAAAACTTGAGTTTTGGTTAGCTCCTTATGTGAGAAATCTTTTCATGTGTCTTCCTGTGAAAGGAGAATTCTCTTTTTGGTAATAATACTATATCGCACTTCAATTGTCTTAGTTAATTTCAGTTAACTCAATAAAATTTATTTCATCCCATTTCTTTTTTTTATGACTTGAACAACATAAATTCAGTACTGATTTTTCCCCCCATATGTTTCTTCCTCAAACTAGATTATCGACAACTGGAAATACCATAAAACAAAAGTGGCTTCATATTGGCTCATAAAACTGGACTCTACAAAACAACGAAAAGTGAGTAATATCTAAAAACAGTCTTGTTTTTCGATTACCTTTTAAGTGGGGCCATTAATTCACACTCAAGTCTCATACATAGTAATATATTTATAAATTTCTTTATCAAATATTTATTGAAAACCTCCTAGCACATTAATAATGGTTTTGATGGGACAAGACTGGACAGTGTTTTGTTCTGTTGTATGTGGGACTGATGTGAGTTGAAAGTGACTTTATGGCACTTAAAACAATGTCAATCTACTGTAGGCTAATCACTGTGCTAGGCTCTGAAGAAGAAAACATGAATTAAAAATCGTATTTGAATTTTGGTTAAAATGCTTGACAAGAAACAAATATATAATAGCATATAATGTATTAAATGCTATGGGGAAAAATAAAACAGGATAACACTGGAGCAGAAACTTATGAAATAAGAGTGAATATATCTATAAGTACAATATATCAAGCTGCAGATAGTACAAAGGTAAAATTCTGAGGTAAAAATTCTCTTGGTGCGTATTTAAAGTACCATTTTTATGATGGTTTGTTTTTGGTGGAAGAGAATGGTAGAGCAATTGTAAAGGATGTGACTGGTTAGTCAGTCAGGGGTTACATTCTGTTGCCAAAGGCCATGGAATGACTTTGACCTTTATTTAAAGCAATGGTAAAGCTAAACTCCAAACTCAATGCCATCAGGTTGATTCCAACTCATACTGATCCTCCATTAGGATTCTGAGGCTGTAAATTTTTACTGGAAGACTGCCCACCTTTCTCCTGTAAAGTAACTGGTCCAATTTTTCATTTAGCCACCAACACATTACTTACATAGGGCTCTTTTACGTGTAATGGTAAATCAAAACAAACTTTAAGCTGAAGAGTTACATCACTTAAAGGGCTTGTTAAAGGTATTTGTTGTAGAATACTTGCTGCAGAAGATCAAACACTGCAGCATTCAATAAGGATTATATCTCAACATCAAGAAAACAAAAAAAATGTCACCACTGGACTGATAAATGACATAATAGATGAAAAAAAAGATTGAAACTGTCAACAACTTTATCTTACTTGGATCCATACTCGTTTGGTACCAGCAATCAGGATGTCAGGATAGGTATTGAACTGGGAAAATCTGCAGTCAGGGACCTCACCAAATTACTGAAGAGCAATGATGTTGGTTTGAGGACTAAGGTGTGCTTGATTCAGACCCTAGTCTTTTTCAGTCATTTGCTATGTACTGAGAACTGGGCAATGAATAAGGATGACAGAACAAAAATTGATACCTTTAAACTGGTGTTAGATGAACACGGAATATTCCATGAACTGCTTTAAGAACAGACAGGCATATCTTGGAGTAGGTACAGCCAGTGTGCCCTTTGGAGCAAGGATGACAAAACTTCATCTTGCATATTTTGAGTATGTTTCTAGCGAATGCTATTCCTTGGAGAAGGGCATCCTGCCATGAAGGGTGTGAGAATGATGAAGAGGAGGGAGTGACTGCAGCACTGGGTTGATAAAATGACTGAAATAATGTGGTAGAGTGTGTCAGAGATTGTGAGGTTGGCAGATAGGAGAAGATGTAGAGCTATTGTTCACAGTGTCAACTTGACGGCACCTCACAACAAAAAACAACATTGATGAAAACAAGGAAAGATTTTCAACAACTTCTGTAGACTAAAATCGATCAAGCATGTACTTAGTATGTGTTAATAATTGCTGGTGATTGGAATGTGAAAGTTGGAAATAAAGAAGAATCACTCATTTACTTATTGGTGTTGAGTCAGAACCAACTTAAGCTGACATTCCAGCAGGTTTTCAGAGACTGTAAATCATACTGTAGGAGATTGCTCATCTTCTCCCAAGGAGCAGCTGGTGGATTTGAACCACCAGCCTTAGACTTGGTTGTGCAACCTATATACTAGACCACAAGAGCTCCTTAAAGGACAGTTCTTGGTAAATAGAGCCTTGGTGATAGAAGCAATGCCAGAGATTGCATGATAGAATTTTGTAGGATCAATAATCTAGTCATTGAAAATACATTTTTCCCCCAATAACTTAAATCATGATTCTATACATGGACCTTCAGAAATACCCAGGCTTCGAAATGCCTACATCTGTGTAATGAGATGATTAACAAAAAATCTCCATGTCATCAGTCATAAGAGGTTGCTGTTAGGAGCCATCGAGTTGACTAAGACTTATAGTAACCTATGAATATGAATCTGAACCTTGCCCTATCCTGTGCCATTCTCATTATCTTTGTCACACTTAGAGGTCATTGTTATAGTCACTGTGTCAGTCTATATCATTGAAGATCTTCCCCTCTTTTGCTGACCTCCACTTTTCTGGATAAGGAGCTTAATGCCCTTATCCAGAGCTAGCCCCTCCTGATATGTCCAAAGTCCATGAGATGAGCTTTCACCATCTTTCCCTTTAAAGAACACTCTGGCTGTACCCTTTCCAAGACATCGTTCATGGGATATTTGAACTCTTCTTACAGCACCACAGTTCAAAGGCCTCAATTATTCTTCACTCATCTTTATCTACTGTTCAACTCTCAGATGCATAGCAAGTAATTGAAAAGACCATGGCTTAGATCCAACACACCTTAGTCATTGAACTGATGCCTTTGCTCGAAAGTAGTTTTCGAGAGGTCCCTGACTGCATACTTTCCCAGTACAAACATCTTTTGATTTCCAGATTTGTTGGTACTAAGGCTGTTGATTGTGGATCCAAGTAAAATGAAATCACTGAAAATTTCATTTCTCCATCTATCATGATGCAATCTCTTGACCTAGTGGTGAAGAATTTTTTTCTCTTTATATTAAGATAAAAATCAATATTGAAGCTTTAGTTCTTGATTACCTTCAGCAAGTACTTCAAATCCTTCTCACTTTCAGCATGCAAGATTGTGCCATCTGTATTAATGCAAGTTATTGATTAGTCTTCCATTGATCTTGATGCCACATTCTTCTTCATAAAGTGTAGCTTCTTAAATTACATGCTCAGCATAGAGAATGAACAGGTCTAAAGAAAGAATACAGTCCTGATGCAAACTTTTCTTGATTTTGAAACTTCCATGCTCCATTGCTCTGTGATCTAGGTATAAGTTTCACATGAACACAATTAAGTATCTTGGAATTCTCATTTTTCTCAATATTAGCCATAATTTTTTATAATCTACACAGTTAAGTGCCTTTGTATACTCAGTACAACACAACTTTTATCTGGTACTCTCTGCTTTCAGCCACGATTCGTCTGACATGAGCAATGATATCTGTGATGCTACAGCCTTTTCTGACTTTCTGGCAGTTATCTGCTAATTTTTAGTTCTAGTCAATTTTTAAATAATTTTCAGCAAATTGTTCCAGCATGGTGCATAGTATTCCATCATGTGAATGTATCATGATTTCTCAATCCATTCTATTGTGGTTGGACATTTAGACTGTTCCCATGTTCTTGCTATGATGACTAATGCTGCTCGAAACATGGTGTACAAGTCTCTGTGCCTCAGTTCTCATTTTCTCAGGGTGTATTCCAAGTGGTGGAAAAGCTGGGTCATATGGAATTTCTATCTTCAGCTTTTTGAGGAAATGCCGAACTGCCTTCCAGAATAGTGGTACCATTTTACCATCCCACCAACAATGTATAAGAGTTCTTGTCTCTCCACATTCTCTCCAACGTTTATAACTTACTGTCCTGTTAAACTTTGTTACCACTACTGGAGTGAGATGGTATCTAATTATGGTTTTGATTTGCATATTTCTTATTGCGGGTGATTTTGAACATTTCTTCATGTATCTATCTGTTGGCTATCCAGATTCCTCCTCTGTGAAGTCTTTCCATGTGTGTTGTCCATTTTTTAATTGAATTACAAGTCTTTTTCTTTTCTGGAGGCCCAGAGGTAAACTTTTTTTTCCCCCCCAGAGGTAAATTTTTCTGTAAATTTTTGAATGAGACCCTTGTCTGAGATGATATTGCCAAATGTTTGTTCCTAGACAGTAAGTTTTCTTTTCATTCTCTTGGAGAAAGTTTTTATGAGCAGAGAAATTTAATCTTTAGAAGGTCCCATTCATCAACTTGCATGTGTTATTAATGATATTATTCAATAATTTCCACGTTCTGTTGGATCACCCGATTTGGGGATGAGAACAAGTACTCCAGTCAGTTAAAAAGGTGACTGTTTAGAGATTTCTTGGCATAACTTGATGAGCACATCCAGGGCTGCATCTGGTAGTTGAAACATGTCAGTTGGTATCCTGTTTGGTTCCTGGGGGCTTCCTTTTTGCTTTTACCTTCAGTGCAATTTGCACTTCTTCCTTCATTATCAACGGTTCCTGATCATGTACTACTTTCTTAAATAGTTGTGTCAGGAATTTTTTTTGGACAATGACTCAATGCATTCTGCCCATCTTCTTTTGATGCTTCATGGATCATTCAGGATTTCACTGTGACATCCTTCAGTATTGCAACTTGAGGTTGGAACTTGTTTTTCAGTTCTTTAACCTTGAAGAATGCCAAATGAGCTTTTCTCTTTTTGTTTTCTAACTCCTCTTTGCACATATCATTATGACGCTTAGCTTTGGCTTGTCAAACTGCCATTTGAAATCTTCTGTTCATAGCTCTGACTTTTGCAATATTGTTTTGACCTCTTGATGTTCCAGTGCAACTCTTAAAGTCTCTTGTGCATCCATTTTAGTATTTTCTTTTACCCAGGTCTTTGTAATGACATTTTGCTTTCTACTTAAATTATATTCTCAGTATCATTCCAAAACTTATCGGGTCTTCAGTTATTAGTGTTCAATACCTCATATCTATTCTTTTATAAAAATTTTTATTTTATATTTGTTTGCTTACAAAGTTCATTATATTTTACATCATTCTTCATTCACATTCACTGTGTTTCATGCAGTCATTACCATTATATTTTAGAAAATTAATCACCATTGAACTATATGTCCAGTTATTACCCTGTCTTTCCAGATACTTGCCAGATCTTTTCCATTTTCTTTACCCATCCC